GAGCAGCCTGCAGAAGCTGTGTCTGAGTCTGCTGTCATCCCTCCAGGAAGGGGCCGGCAGTGTGGGCAATAGGGGCTGGCCTTGTATACCCCACAAGGCTCAGAGAGACCCACAGCCTCCTGCTCTGAGCTGAGAGCCGTCCCAAGGTCCCCGGGACTTGGTTCCTTCCAATCCAGCTCTCCACTGGCCAGGTCCAAGCTCAGGTTAGTTCGTGGGGAAGCCAAGTGGATGCAGCCGTAGCTCGGGCTCCACAGGATTGATGTTGAAGAAGTTGACTGCAGCAGCAGGCCTGGGGGGTGGCGGGGGGTCCCGGGTGGCCTCCCCGGGAAGCAGCAGCTGAGTGGTGAGCTGCAGGCCTGAGGAGCCACCTGAGCCCGAGTCCGAGTCCGGTGGCAGGGGCAGGGGCAGCACGTGCTGCAGACTCAGGCCAGGCCGAGCGCCGCTGTGAGAGGTCCGCAAGGAGGGGGAGGCAAGGCTGGCCCGGTGCTCCCAGGGACAGCGGGGACATGGCAGGAACTTGCTCAGGGCCCGCTTGAAGTCCCGCATGAAGAGAGGGTAGATGATGGGGTTCATGGTGCTGTTACAGTAACCCAGCCACGTGAGGACATCAAAGAGGCCTGGGGAGATGCAGTCGCACACGGCCTGAGGGGACGGGATGGGTCATGCCTGGTCCCAGAGCAGGGTTACAGCCCACCCCACCCAACTCAGATGGAACAGACATACACGAAGGCCTGCATCACCCAAGGCAGCCCACTCTCCCACTCCCCAAGTCAGGGCTGGGGCTCAGAGCCTCCCCAGCAAAGCCTGGACCCACCTGCCCCCTGCTATGGCATTACCTGGGCTATGTTGGCCACAAAGAAGGGCAGCCAGGTCACAAAAAACATGCCCAGCAGGATGCCCAGTGTCAGGCTGGCCTTCAAGGCCTTCCTGCTGTGCTTGGTGGCCAGACGCCTGCTGTCAGCTGACTCCACCCCTGGGCGTGGGGTCCTGGGCACCTGCAGGAAGGAAAGCCACATTAGGCAGCAGAGAAAGAGCCCCAGTCTGATCCTAGCCAAAGACTGAGCCTCAATCCTAATTCTAGCCCAAGCCCTAGCACCAGCAATAAACTGCGCCCTGATCCTTGAGTGATTCCCACCTGGAGTCCTAGACTAACACCTGACATCAGCAATAAGCTAAGACCAAGGCTGAACCCTAATATATCATCAAGCCCTACCTAACCTAACAGCCTCAGCCAAGGACCTAGACTGAGCCCTGATCCCAGTCTCACACTGAGCCCTGATCCTGACTCTGACCAAGAATTTCACAAGGCACTCTAGGAAGTGCCATGAGACAAAGCAACCCTACCTCACACACCAATCAGATGGTAGAAGGGTCACCATCCCTGGAAAGAAAACATACGACACAGACCACACACACTACAAGCCTCAGCACCTTCCAAAGCCTTTGGAATCAGTTGCAGTTCACCAGGACTTGAAAAAAGAGGACCTGTTGCCGTCCAAGACTTGGCAATGTCTTTGTCTATGAATTTTCTTCATATTTAGGAGTACTGCTTTTGCCTAGATGATTACTTTTGTGCTCCACAAAATAGAAGTGCTTTCTGGAGAATGTATGCACAAAGCAAACGCTTGCAATTAAGTCTTTTGTAGATTACAGGGAATGCTAGTGACCTTGATATCTGACAGCTCCATCATGCTGTGGACTTGCAGGCTTCTCCATTTTCAAAAGTGGACTGGAAGAGGAGAGGGGATTAGGGAAGGAGGAGAAGGAAGCTGCTCCCCTGGGGGCCCCTGACAGGAGGACATGGGTATGGGAAGTTAGATTTCGACTTTGCAAAGTGGCAACCAGCAGCCCCCAAATATCAAAAGGCTCTCTGAACTGGGCCATCCTTTCGTATAACAATCCTCTTGACATTTCTAACCTCATGAGCCCTTTGAAAAGCTAATGAAATGTACAAAAACCCCTCCCCAGAAAATGAAAGGCTTATAAAACTTATACACCCGAGGAGAAAATGTTCCACACTTCCAGGAGGTTCAGAGACCACTTTGAAGTCTGTGGGTTCCCACTATGAAATCCCTAGGAGTCCATGAAGGCTGGGATCTGAAGCCTTCCTCTAAATCATGTGTTGTAATCCATTTGGATTTTCATATATCAGATTGACACAAAGTGAGACCCACCCATATTTACAACTTTAGTAAATGGTGCAATGGTGTGCACGACTCATGGTGACTTATGCAAAGCGTGTATACGGGACGGAGGAACACAGCTGGGCTTTAACAGCCAGACTGGGCTAGCATTTCCTACAGCGGTGTCACCCCAGCTTAGTTCTTTGAGGCAGCCAAGGGTGTGCTGGGTATAGGAAGATGAGGTCAGAAGAGGCAGGAAAGGAATCAGATTCCCAGGCAATCATCCGCAGATGGAAAGAGGGTGGAGAAGGCAAAAGCAAGATGTGCCAACCCTGGGGAGCGCAAAGCCAACAGCCCCGCCCCCACTTTCATGCGCATGCGCTTTCTGTCCAGCCCTGCTCCTCTCTCCTGGCCTCCTCCGGTACCCAGAGTTGGTGTCTTGTCCATGGTGCTGAAACCCCAGCTCCATGCCATCCTTCCAGGGGAGCAGGGGTTCTAATTCTGGAATGGTAGGTAGTAGCCCGTGGCAGAGGGGAGACAAAGAACCTTATAAATCCCACCCCTCAATGTGTTTATCCAGGTGAAATCTGGTTATACAAATATCAAGGACAAAGACAAAAAAGCAGCCTAAGAGAGACCCTTGATTTCTCTCCTCTGTCTTGGTGGGGCAGCACTGCAGAGGCAAAAGCTGGGCTTTTAAGACAGGTGATCTGGCTTCGAATCGTGCCTCTACCACTTACTCGCTCTGTGATCTGGAGAGAGCCTCTGTTTCCACATCTGTAAAATGGGAGAAATGATACTCAGCTTACAGAGTGAGGCTATGGATCATAAAAACATGCACAGTACCCAACACAGATTAGGAGCTCAATACATGATAGCCCTGGGGCTGGTCCCATGATGTATGTGTGTAAGGTTGGGGTGATTTGGGGCACCCTGGAGGTTCCCTGTCCTTCTGCCAGCAGCTCTGTCCTCCCCCAAAGCAGCACAGATGCCAGGACAGACACTCTGACTCACCGTGCTGCAGCTCAGCTTCTATGACTGAAGAACACTACTCCACCCCCACCCTGCCATACACCAGACTGCTCCAAAGTCTGGCTCAAGTCAGTGAGGGAAAAAAAGAGTGGCCCACTTGTGGTCCCCTCCTAGTTTTTCACTCCTCCTCATTTGATCTTCCTGAGGGGTAGGTATGATAATCCCCATTTTGCAGATGAGACAACTGAGGCTCTGCAAGGCAAAATAACTTGCCAGGAGTCACACAGCAGGTGGGAGTTGGGCCCAGAAACTGCACTCTTCCCACTTCACCATGCCACCTCCACAATCAGGGCATATCCCTGGGCTACAGGCAGGGTAGGGCTAAGAAGCTCCACTTCTGACATCAAGAGCTCTCACAGAGCAGAAACTAAAAGCAACCACCAACCCACACCTGCAGTCTGGCTAACACCAGGCTCCCCTCCCTGGCTTCTAACCACCACACAGACTCTGGTGGCCATGCTCTGCTGTTTGCATGTCCCCTCTACAAGTCTATGGCATGTGCCTCTATCAGAGGGCAGCTACCTGGAGGGCAATCTAGCAGTGCCCTCAGCCAGAAATCCCACTTACAGGTCCTTATGTTCAAAAAACACCTGCTTACCTATCTGTACAGTTGACATATACAAGAATGTGTCCCCCAACACTATGCATGATAGGAAAAAACAGGAAGCAGCCTGAATATCCAACAAATACCAGTGGTTAAATAAACCATGGTACACTGCCATTCTACACCTATAATCTCAGCAATTTGGGAGGCTGAAGCAGGAGGATCACTTCAGGCCAGGAGTTCAAGACCAGCCTGGGCAACATAGCAAGGCCTTGGCTCTACAAAAATAATATTAAAAATTATCTGGGTGTGGTGGCACAAACTGGTAGTCCTAGCTACTTGGGAGGCCAAGGCAAGAGGATTGCTTAAGCCTAGGAGTTCAGGATTTCAATGAGCTATGGTGGCACCACTGCACTCCAGCTTAGGCAACAGCAAGACTCTGCCTCCAAAAAAAAAAAAAAAAAAAAAAAAGGCAGGAAAAAAAAATGGAAGGATATTCTCTAAATTGATAAGAATGTCCCTGGGAATAGAAGGTGATTAGATGGAATATGGAGGGGCTGTCTTTTATTTCATCTCTATTGTTGAATTTTTATTTTAAAGTGTACTTATACATTCCCTTGTGTAATTTAAAAAAAAAATTTTTTTTGAGACAGAGCCTCAAGCTATCCCCCTGGGTAGAGTGCTGTGGCTTCACAGCTCACAGCAACCTCCAACTCCTGGGCTCCAGCGAGTCTCCTGCCTCCACCTCCCAAGTAGCTGGGACCACAGGCGCCCACCACAACGCCCAGCTATTTTTTGGTTGCAGCGGTTATTGTTGTTAGGCAAGTCTGGGCTGGATTTGAACTCGCCACCTTAGGTGTACGTGGCTGGTGCCTTAGCCACTTGAGCCACAGGCGCCGAGCCATAATTTAAATTTTTTACCATCATCTACTTATAGCATGAAGGTTACAAGACAGGTTCGAGCCAGACTGGCTTCAAATCCTGGCTTTATTACTAACTAGCTGAGTGACTTTAAGCAAGTCACTACACCTCTCTGTGTCTCAGCTTTTACTTCTGCAAAACGGCAATTATAATGGCCTCTACCTCACAGGGTTGTATGATAGAAAGGATAATGTACAGACAATTGGAAAAGTGTCTGGCACATGGTAAATACCATACAAGTGTTAGTTATCATTGTTGTTTGTGGTTCTTAGTGTCTGACTCAGCTGTTTGCTAACTGTGATGCTGCTGGTGGCAGCCATGGTGACTTTTTTCCCTAGAAAGGCTCAAAGGAGTGAGCTGCCTGGAAGCATATCTGTTACCACCGACAGGAAAGGAGAGGAACAGGTATTTATTGAGCACCTACTAGGTGCCTGGCACTTTATGCATATTATCTCACTGACTCTTCAAATAGTCACATGAGATAAACAGCTTTACTCCTGCCCCGCAGAGAGGTGACATGCCTTGCCCAAGGTCATCTAGCTGCAATGGGGGATAGGGCTCAAGCCCTGTGCAGCCAGACGCCCAAGCTCCTGCCACAGCCGCAGCCCTGGCTCCAAGCAGCAACCAAGCCTGCCCCGCTCAGCAGTGCCACTCTGCCAGCCTCTCCCCGGCTCACCCTCTTCCTCCCCCTCGCAGATATTTCTGTGATCACAGCCTCCTCCTCAGAGGAGGAAGGACAGAGATGGAAAGGAAGATGGATCACAAAGACAAAATGATGCTTAGGAGAGTGAGGTGAAAAGAGAGGCAGGAGGAGGAGGAGAGATTGATGGGGTAGGGAAAGCACGCAGAAAGAAGAGAAAGGAACAGGGAGGAAGATGAGGGACAGAGATGGGCAGAGGTCGTAGGTCACAGAGACCCAGAAATCCTGGTGGGAAAGGAAGAGGCTGCTGCTGGCCCTGAAGCTCAGCACCCACACTGCACTCCTGACACTGCCCCAGCCCCCCAGGCTCTCCAGAATCTCTCAAGACTAAAGGCCATCCCCATTAGACCCCCCCCTTACACAGACACAGACATGCACACCCCTGGCAGCATTTCACTCTGTCACCACTGCCCCCATGTCCCTCCATCCCCAGCCTGCAGCCCCTGGCTTAGCACTAGGCAAGACACCCTTCTCCCAGCCCCTGGGGCAGCAGGAAGACCTGGTGAAACACTTCAGGCAACAGTGCTTTTTTAAAAGCCCATTTAGGCTAGGCATAGTGGCTCAGGTCTGTAATCCCAGCACCCTGGGAGGCTGTAGGTGGGAGAATCATTTGAGGGGAGGAGTTCAAGACCAGCCTGAACAAAACAGCAAGATTCCATTTCTAAAAAAAAAAAAATTTGAAATGAGTCAGTTGTGGTGGCACATGCACGTAATCCCAGCTGCTCAGGAGGCTAAGGTAGGAGAATCGCTTGAGCCCAGGAATTCAAGGCTACGAAGAGCTATGATTACACCACTGTACTCCAGCCTGGGCAACAGAGTGAGATCCTATTTCAAAAAAAGAAGGTGGAACCCCATTTCCATAAATTGTCATATGTAGGGGGTGGGAGGATATAAAAAACGCTCAAGGCTACCAGCTCCCATGCTCTGGACCCCAGAGAAACTAGGACTTCAGGAACCTACGCCCAGATCCCTCCCCTCTGCAGAGAAGCTGGAGGCAGGATTGGGGTAGGCAATAAAGGGTAAGTGGGACTGAGGACAGGAGGAAAGGGAAATGACCTTATTCCTTTAGGTCCAGGCATTGAGGGAGCCCCCACCTTCAAGCTAGAAGCTGCTGGTCTCTGAGACAGGCCAGTTTAGTGAGAAGAAAGGGAAGTGACAGCAGAGGCAGCATCCTAGAAGCTATTTTCCAGAACGCAGGCCGCTCTCCGGGCCATGAGGGAAGCAGGTCTGCAAAAGGCTTGCTTAGAAGCTAAGTGAGTTTGGAAGCAAGAGCAGTGGCAGGACCTGACACTTCACTACAGACCAGGAGAACAGGCTTTCCAGAAAGTGGGAGATTAGCACAGACACATCTCTGGCTCGAGAGGTCCACAGGTCATTCTGCCTCAGGGGCAGGGCATGGGCCTAAATGTCCCACAAAGGCTACTCCCCGTCTTTGGTTTTATTTATTATTTTTATTTCTGTTTTATTTTTGAGACAGAGTCTCACTCTGTTGCCCTGAGTATCACAGCTCACAACAACCTCAAACTCTTGAGCTTAAGCAATGCCCTTGCCTTAGCCTCTCAAGTAGCTGAGACTATAGGCGCCCACCACTATGACCAGCCAGTTTTTCTATTGTTAGTAGAGACAGGGTCTCACTCTTGTTCAGGCTGGTCTCGAACTCCTGAGCTAAGACAATCCACCTGCCTTCTCCCAAAGTGCTAGGTTTACAGGTGTGAGTCGCCACGCCCTGGCCTCCAGCCTTTGGTTTTAGAGCTCCGTGTGATTTCTTTGCTTTACCCTTTGAACACATACTCAGGGAATGACAGGTATGGAGTGTTCTCTGGGTGAGGCACCCCTCTTAGAAGCTCCCTAGTCCTCAGCATAATAGCGTTTCATGATCAATGTCTCTCCCCAACTAGAACAGAGCCCCAGAGGACAAGTGTTACCGGCCTTTCCATCAGCATATCCACAGCCTGGGACAGCTCCTGCACCAATGTGACCCAGCAAATGAATTCATGAGACAAAAAGCTTAGGTTATCACATGCAAGAACTGATTCTGAAAAGAGTGAAAGAAAAGGCAGCCATGTGAACAGGGGTGGAATCCCAGGCTCCCTGAGGCTCTGTGTTCATTTCAGCCCTTCTGTAAACACCTACTGGTCACCCATGCCCCAAACCAGGCACTGTTTTAGGTACTGGGAACACGGCAGTAAACGAAGACAAGTTCTCACCCTCATAGAGCTTATATTCTAGCAGAGCAAAATAATAACAGAATGGGTAAGTATGTATATGTCAGGTGGTAGTAAGAAATAACGCAGGAAGGAAGGACTGGTGAGGCCCTGGGGAGGGTGGTAATTGCTTCTGTTGATAGAAAGATTCGGGAAAGCAAATGAAGAAAGACTGGAAGGAAGTGACGGAAGTTAGGGAGAGAACCACGTGGGGATATGAGGAAAGCACATCTTGGTGTGTTCGAGCAACAGCAAGGAGGCTGGTGTAGCTGAAATAGAAAGAGCATGGGGGGATGATAGGAGGAAAGGAGCCTAGATAAGGAGCTCACGGGGCCAGGTGACACCAGGCCACCACAGGGCAGAGGAGTGATGTGGCAGGACTTGTACTTCAAAGGGATCACGCTAGCTGTTGTAGAGGAGGTAAGGGGAAAGTCAGTCAGGAGAGAACTGCAATAACCCAGGCAGCAGATGGAGGGGCTCAGCCCCAGGGGGCGGTGGAGAGATGAGAAGGGTCCAAGCCTGGGCATGTTTTCCAGGTAGCCATAAAAGGATCAGATGTGGAGTGTGAGATCAAGAGTGGCTTCCAGACAGGTCCCTGGGCCTGAACAACTGAGAAGCTCACTCCAGGACAGAGAGTGATATAAGGAAGCTCACTCCAGGACAGCGACTTGATATAAGGAAGACTAGGGGGGATTAAGGTCTGGGGGTTACAAATCCAGACTTCTGTTGGAAGCATGCCAAGGAAACACCCAGGCAAGAAGTCATCGGCACGCAGGGGGTATTATCAGTCATGAGACAAGATGGCATCACTAAGGGAGCAAATGTGGGGAAAGGGTGAAAAGAGCGGGCGACTGAGGCCCAGGGGATGCCATGTCTGGGATGGATCAGAAGGACCCAGCAGAGGAGACCAAGAAGACACAGAGAAGAAAAGAGGCACAGTAGGGTGTCCCCAAGCAGAGTGTCTCAAGGGCACCACTGCTCACAGGCAGCACATAGGCTCAGAGTGAGGCTTTGGCACCAGCCTAATCAGAGCTTGAACCTCACTTACCAGCCATGTGACCTTGGACAAGTTACCTCCTCTCTCTCTGAACCTCAATTTCCCCGTCTGTCAAGCAGGGCTGACAGCAGTACTGGCCTCATTGGGTGTTGGGGGATTAATAAGCTTAGCTCTGTGGCACCTGGCACATAGTGAGTGCTCAGAGAACATGGGCCTGTACCTGAGGGCACCTGGGAGACTCCTGCCCAGTGACTAAGAGGCCACAGTCTCAAATTCAATCCTGGTCCCAGCTAACTAGCTTAAGGGAAAGATAATCTGTGTCACCAAAGTGATTGGAACCTGGAATCTTGATCTCCTCTGTCTTCAGCCAGGCCCAGCTAACTTCTCTCATCCAGACCAGAGCTTCCCACAGTATAGGAATAGAGATGATTTCAAGTATAAATGGACACACCATAAAAGGAGTGAGTCACAGAGTGCATCAGCCCTCTCTGGTTCCCTGCCTCCCCCCCAGCTCTTCTAGGAAAGAAGAGAAAGCCATGTTGGTGTTTCTGTGTCTGTAACACCCCCTCAAACTTGACAAAGACAAAGCAGGCCTCAGAGCCGGTCACTTTAAGAGCACCAAGCTGGACCTCAGAGCTGCTGCTGGGATGTCCTCAACGTCACTGAAGTTGTGCTTGTGATCACCTGTCTGTGGCAAGGAACACCAATTTTCTATTTCTGGAAGAGATAAAAAGTTTTCTTTCTAAAGAAAGTAAGAGTGGCGACTGAAAGAAAATGCTGAGTACATACGAATTAAGTGGCTTGAGATGGGGATGGGGAGAGAGAGCAAGGCAGAGTGCCTGAACTTTGGGAAACAAGACCCCAGGCAGAGTATGGACAGCTCAGAGCAGCCATCACACTGTTAAGAAGCAAATCAGGGTCACAGCCACCTGCTGAGACTCAAAAATGTTCTCCAGGGAGCACAGAGAGGGAGAAGGAGCAGGACTGTCCCCAGAACTCTCTGGCCACCCAGGGCCCTGCCTCTCTGGGCCTCACTGATGGGGTGAGGACAATGTTAACCTTTCACCCCTTGGCCAAGTTCCTATCCACCTAAGGACCCACAGGTCACCCCTCCCCAGAGCTTCCTCCACCTGCAGTTACACCGAGAAAGCCCAGCTGGGACTTTGCACAGGCCCTGCAACCTAAGTCTCTGAGACTCAGCTCTGGTCATTCTGGACAGCAGGAACTCAAGCACAGTGTGGCCTGGGTGGCAAGAGCAGCCACTCCACCTACAGGGATCGCAAGACCTTGAGCTAAGAACGCCTACCCCATTCACAAGCACCTAGATAGGTGTACCTACTGTGTGCAGTGAGGATCAAAACTGACCCAGATACACAAGGCCCTCGCAAAGCCTATATCCAAGTCGGGGAGGCAGGATGAAGAAGTGAGCAATAAATCAGGGGATGCACGGCCTGGGGGAGGGCGGCTGGGTCTGCAGACAGGGTGGCCTCTGGGAAGAGGTGAGCGAACAGGCAGGCTAATGCAGCAGTCCAGGCAGAGGGCACGGCGAAGACAGACCCTGGCACAGAAAGAAGCTCAGTGCCTCCTAGGAACTGTCAGAAAGGCCATAGGCTGCCGCAGAGTAAGAGACAGGGAGCAGGAGGTGACACTGGAGCAATTGGCAGGGACAGATCCAGAGGCAGGATCCTGAGATGGGTTTGTTCTTTCTCCTGAGTACGATGAGGAGCTGCTGAGGGTTTGAAGCAGGGATCGTTTTTTGTTTTTCTAATCGCTCTAGTTTCGGTGCAGAAAATGGATAGCCAAGGGTCGGAGTGGAAGAGGGGCGTGGGGTGAGAGGACAGTAGAAGTCTGCCAAAGGCTCCCAGGCAAGAAGTGGCAGTGGCTTGGATTAAGGAGGTGGCCATGGAGATGGACCTGTTTAGGAAGCAGTGCCATCAGGCCCCACTAATGAATGGCATGAGTGTGAAGGCTAAGTATCGTTCATAAGTTTCTGGTGTGGGATGACATGATGGTGCCGTTTGCCATGATGGGGAAGACCAGGAGAGGAGCAGATAAGAGATGAGCCACCCTAAGTTCCTTGGTGCACAAGTTACCTTGGAGAAGCCTATCCCACATCCTGATGGAGCTGTCCTGTGGACAGTCAAGCATTGCGTCTGGAGCTCAGCAGAAAGATGGGAGCTAGGAATGGCCACGAAGAGGTCATCAGCAGGCTGCGCTGAGTGGAGGATGGGCAAAAGGGGTGGGGATAGGGCTACTCATTCCTCTCCATCCCACGATCCCGGGTCTCCCTGCGCACCCCGGGTACCTGCAGCGTCTCCAAGGCCTGGCTGGCCATGCCGGTGGGGAGGGAGGCCACCTGCACCGCCTGCTTGCGGGCGGCCAGCAGGATCCTGCAGTAGGTGAAGCAGATGGCACCCGAGGGCAGGAAGAAGGTGAGGCCTGACGCTACGAGGACGAAGGGTAGGCTGGCCAGCAGGCGGCACTGGCCCGGGTCAGGCTGCCGGGTGTGACCCAGTTCATGCCAGCCCAGGAGCAGGGGCAGGAAGGAGGCGAGCGCAGCAAGGCTCCAGGCACCCAGGACCAGCGCCAGGGCGCGCGGCGGCGTCATGCGCAGCTTGTAGCGCAGTGGCGACAGGATAAGCAGGTAGCGGTCCAGGCTGATGAGGCAGAGGTTGAGGATAGAGGCGCTGCAGCACATCACGTCGAAGGCGGCCCAGAGCAGGCAAAGGCTGCGCGCCAGCACCCAGCGCCCATACAGTGCGTTCAGCATGGCAGGCGGCATTACCACCAGTCCCACCATCAGGTCCGACGTGAACAGCGACACCAGGAAGAAGTTGGACGTGTTGCGCAGCGCAGGCTGCGTGCAGATGAGCGCGATGAGCAGCGAGTTGGCCGCCGCCGTCAGCGCGATGACCACGCACAGCCCCGCCGCCACCCAGCCGCTGCCTCCAGGGGCCGATGGCTGTCCTGACCCCCAGGCTGGGGTGCTGTTGTTGGCGGGCCCCGGCTCTGGGACCATGGGGACCGGGGATGGAGGGCCAGGGCGTAATGGAGTGGTCTAAAGACAAGTGAGGAGCCTGGCAGAGCAGAGGCCGGGTGGGCACCGTTGATGACAACAGACCACGTCCCTCCCCCGGGGGAAGGTGAAAAGATAGGAGTGGGGGCGTTAGGTCCAGGGGCAGCTACCAGAGGAGACGAAGAGGACCTATATGAGCGCCCTCGGGGGGTGGGACAGGGACACCTGGAGCAAACGAGTGGGCAGTTTAGGGAGGGGCGCCTGATGATTAGAGTGTCCTAAAGTGGGCAGGGGAGAGTTGGGAGGAGGTCGAGAGCGGGGGTGGCCCTAGGGTGGGAGCAGAGGTAAGATGGGGAGGACACGCCTGGCAGAGTCGGGGGAGGTGAAAGCAGGGGCCAATGGGCGCTCTCCCGCAGGTTAGGCTCCAGGTTGCTGTGGGCGTGCGGAGGCGCTAAGACGGGAGGTAGCTAGCCTTGGGGTAGCAGGGCGGGGCCTAGCGGCCGGGGCAGAGCCCCGGGTGCGGAAAGCAGATGTTAGTCGGCAGAAGGTCCCTGAGATCGGGCACACACGACCTCTGTGGGGCACGGGAAGATGCCGGCCGGCCAGGCCCCACCGGGAGAGGAGGGCAGCAGCCGCGCCCGTGCGCCCTCCGCACCCTGCCGCCGGGTCGCTGGCCCGCCTCCCGCCCGCGCTGGGTACCTGGTGCGCTGCCGCTGCTCAGCTGCCTGCGACTGCGGCGAGTGCCGCGGGGCTGGGAAGCGGAGAGGCGGCTGCGGGTAGGGTGGGCGGCGGGGCCGGGGACTTCTGAGCCCGGGAGGCGCCGCGAGGAGCCGCGAGCGCAGAGGAGCTGGCGGGTGGTGAGAAGGGCGCGTGGTCCCCGCGCGGCGGAGCGTGCGCCCCGCCCCGTGCCCGGGATCCGAAGATGCGAGCGCCCCAGCTGCTCCGGACAGCCTCCCGGCCTATGGCAGCACCCCAACACACATCCCTGTATACCTCTCTGCAGTCTATACGCCGGGGCGCCGCAGGCAGAACTCAGAAAAGGGGGCTGTGACCTGCCTTTGTCGGGGCACTGCTTCCTAATGGGGGTCTCTACCCACTCGCAGCGAGATCACCGCACTTCCTCACCTCAGTCGCTGTGTCTATAAAATGGGTTATAATTCCGGGCACTCTTCACCGTTAGTTTACGCAGTGGGCTACCCTTCCCGTTCACAGAGGAGCCAGGCACTCAGGTTGGAGTCCCTGACCTCTTGGCGCTCCAATTTAACAGTGTGAACAGACTTGGGAATGCCCAGGCAGATGGGGTAGAGTCGCTGCAGGCTGAGGGGGTGAGGTGTGCCCCCCCCACCATGTGACCTCCCTGTGTACCTCTCCCCTCTGGCTGAATAGTCTCCACTAACACTGCTGTGCAGATTATTACTGTGGATTCCATTCATTCATTCCACAAATATTTATTGAGCACCAACTAGGTGTCAGGCACTGTTTGGACCAATGAAGACACTACAGTGACCACAACAAAGATCCCGCCTCCGTGGAGCTCGCACTGTAGTGGTAGGAGACGGACAATCAACAATAAGCACAATAAACATGTAAAGTAATCGTAAAAGTGATAACTACATAGACAAAAAGAAAATGTAGCATAAAGAAACAGAAAAATAATACCTCCTACATTTAAAGCTCTTGCCATGTTCCCCGGGGGCTTTATTATACTATCCCTGGCACATATTCTTACTCCTATGATAGTCCTGCTCTCCCAATTATTTATTCCTGCCCCTACAATAAAGCCAAGAAGCAGATGTTAAACTGATAAGCATAGGGCCTGACCAAGCTCACCACTAGCAAGTGGTCAAGCAGGAACTAAACTCAGGTGTGGAGCCGGGCAAGATGGCTCACACCTGTAATCCTAGCACTCTGGGAGGCCAAGGCGGGTGGAATGCTTGAGCTTGTTTGAGACCAGCCTGAGCCAGAGCAAGACCCCCCTTCTCTAAAAATAGCTTGGCGTTGTGGCAGGCACCTATAGTCCCAGCTACTCAGGAGGCTGGGGCAAGAGAATCACTTCAGCTCAAGAGTTTGAGGTTGCTATGAGCTATGATACTATGGCATTCTAACAACGGTGACAAAGTGAGGCTCTGTCTCAAAAATAAAAAAAATAAAAAAATAAACACAGGTGTGCTTAATGCCCACGGCAGAGGGAGCCTATTACAGATGGTCAAAAATCTCCTGATAGGCCGGGCACAGTGACTCATGCCTATTATCCTAGCACTCTGGGAGGCCAGGGCAGGTGGAGGGCTTGAGCCCAGGAGTTCGAGACCAACCTGAACAAGAGAACAGCCTGAGCAAGAATGAGACCCCTTCTCTACTAAAATTAGTTGTGGCAGGTGTCTGTAGTCCCAGCTACTTGGGAGGCTGAGGCAAGAGGATTGCTTGAGCCCAGGAGTTTGAGGTTGCTGTGAGCTATGCCATGACACTCTGCCCAGGGAAACAGAGGGAGACTCTGTCTCAAAAAATAAAAATTAAACAAAACAAAACAAAAAACCTCCTGACAAAACCTCAAACTCTGCAGTTCCCCGGCCCACCCCTAAGCCACTATTTGGTGCTCAGAGCCCCAGTCTTCCCAACAGATGATCAGCTCAGCAGATGGAGGCTTGTCCTCCCTCCCTGACACAGCACTGTACCACTGTGACAATGTCTGCCATGCCCCCTAGAAATGGGATGTAGTGAACCAAGCCTGAGCTGAGAGCCAGAAAGACCCGGCTTGGCTCTGTGGACCTAGGGCCAGCAGCTCCATCGCTTTGGGTCACCTTTTGTCCTCTGCAATAGTTAGAACACTACAGCACCCATTTCACAGAATTGTGGAGAGGATGAAATGACACGGTGTAATCTGTAAACTTTATGGTACTGTGTCACTGCTAGCTGTTGGCCTTAGTGTTCCCATCTGTGCAACAGTGATGCACTCAGCTCTGTGACAATTTGCTTAGCCCAGGGATTCCTGATGTAAGCAACAGTGACCCAACAGGTGCTACGTGGAACCACTGTGAACCCCAGTGACCTGAGTTCCTCATCCCAATTCTGCTATTTGCTCTGTGAGGTTGGCAAAAGCCTCTAAAATTCTCTGCAGCTGTGAATGGCATGAGTCTCTAAACCATTTTTTCCTGATAAATTTCAGCTTTAGCTTTTTCTGTTTGGTATCTTTTATTTGTTAAAAAAGACCTAAGATAAATCATGGCAATAATTTTGACATTTGCTTATGCTAGGTGATAGATTCACAGATGTTTGTTGTACTACATATTATGAGCCGTACTTTGCTAGAATTTTAAAAATTACTTTAAAGATTGGGCCAGAGTTATGGTGCCACCTTGTGGCCACACTGTTATTATCTTAAACTTGAAACTTTACAGACCATCTAGTAGATGCTTCCGTTGTGTGTTATCTGTCATTTAGGTACTGGAATAAGAGAGACCTAGACTTCCTAACATTTTAGAGAGGGACTTTCAAAGATCCTCAGCTTTTGATGGATTAATTTTAGCCACAGGAGCTTCCTCCCTGGAGGAGAAAGCTGATGCCACAATGGGACAGCTGATAAGTCTTAAGAGAGTCCACTGCCCCAGAACTTCATGCCTGTTGGTACAGAGACGACTAGGGAAAGCTTCTCATTACAGAGATGGAGAAATTACTTTCTCAAGGAAGTTACCAGGCCGGCCCAAAGCTGCTCTGGCAAACGGCACTGACCAACTTTGAGAGCAAGGATTGTCTGTGTGTAGCTGTATCCCTGCAATAACTATCTGTGTTCAATCAGCAAATAAGTGAACAACACCGTCAAATAAGCAAATAAGTGGCCCAACAACCTTCAGTATGGGCCAATAGTTGGTTCTCGGTAATAATAACAGCCAACATTCCAAGGTCTTCTTATAGGCCAGACACTGTTCCAAGCTCTAATTCATGTAATGCCACGACCCTGTCGGTGAGGTAGGTGTGATGGTTGGTTCCCCATTTACATACTGGAAAACTGAGCCTCAGAGATCTTATGTGACTTGCTCAAGATTAAATAAAGTTAGAAAGTGGTTCAGCCAAGATTTGAACCCAGGTAGGCTGAATTTCCATAGAGGCTTGGGACAGGAAAAGAAAACCAGTTGAGAGTTGGCTCCGCATACACCGATAAGGCCGGGAATTGTAGGGTCTGACAACACTAGTTATCAGTGTTAATCCTGCCTAAAGATTTTAAACCCTTCCACCTTTGTGGAGAGGGGACAGGGGAGCTGCAAGTTTTTTCCCTGGCTCTGTTGGTAGCTCTTTGTGAGCTTGACAGAGAGAAAAATCGGAACTCACCTAAGGCTACAACGCCCCACACACACGAGAAATACTCCTCAGTTTGTCACTCTCAAATCAGGCTCCTCCCCTTCGCTGGGCTCCCACATCCAATCAGCAGCGCCTCTCCTGCATGGCCCCGCCTCTCCCGCATGGCCCCTCCACTTCAACCCTACTGCCCTCGGGACTGGGAGCATCTTGTCTGGCTGGATGGGGCAATCAGCCCTGCAGGTCCCCAGCTTCTCCCGCCTCCTGCCCAGCCTTGTCTTGCAGGCACCCAGCTCCACGCAGACAGCCCCAGGGTTCCTTGCTGCAAAGAGAATGCAGTCTGAATTGTGGCTGACATTCCTGGCTACCACCCACACCAACCCGCCTTTCTGTTTTATTTCCAACCGGCCCCTTACGTACCTATGAACTTTTACCCTGCCTTGTGACCAAGGCCCATCCTGCCACGAAGAGATGGCAGGCCCAAACCCAATCCCTGCTGCCATATCCATTGTGGGTATCTTGACTGCCACACTGTAGGGTCCAGGTGTGAAATCAGGGCAACTGGGAGCTGACGCAAGTCACCTCTGCTTCCAGAGCCCTGGATGGCCACGCTGTAAGACAAATGTTAAAAGTCCTACCTGTGGACTCACTGAATGATTAATGAGTGCTGGTGTCCCCAAGCTTGGTGTGGGCTCTGAGCCAGACTGCCTGAGTTCAAGTCTGATTGATGACATTTTTTCACTGCTTGGCCCTGGGAAAATTACTTAATCCCTCTGCACTTCAGATACCTTGTCTGTAAAATGAGGGCAACATCTACATCCCTGGGTGGAGGTGAGGATTAGGCAAGTACAGGGCTGAACCTCATATATGAACTTGTAACCGCTAATTTTGTCTGTTTCACCTTCTCCTAGAGGCCGCATCAGGCTGGGCGCAGATAAGGGCTGATGCTGGGTCATTTCTGAGAGTGAAAAAGGACAGCATGAGGAAAGCCCAAGGGATTAAGGGTCAGGTCCATCAAGTCCAGTTCTGAAGGCCTACCCAAGGGGTGTTCAAAGCCAGACTCAGTACCCAAGGAAGAGGTGGGAGCCAGGGAGCCAGGAGCCTGGGGTATGCAGGGCAGCAGAGAGGTCCATGGAGGCAGAGGAGCCATAGCTGGGAGCCAGGGGTCTGCTCACCATTCTGAGGCCTGGACCTAGGCTCCCTTCCCCCTAGGCCCTGCTGCTGGGACCTTCAGAGAACCCTGGGTAAGCAGAACCAGCTAGTGAGGAAGAAAACACAGGCATTGAACAAATTTATTCATGAAAAGTCTCAGGGTCCATCAGGGAGACCATCTACTGGTTATAAGCTCCAGAAGCTCTCGTCAGAACAGCTGTGAGGGCCAGGGCATCCCCCCACCCCCAGGCAGGGGGTGGTGGCCTGGCAGCCCCCCTGGGCATAGAAGGGCAGATGCAGGCAGTTCTGGGGACTGAGGGACTTTCTTCACTGCCTGCCTGCACTGCCCTTCCCCCAGGTCCCACACCCCCCTAGGGTTAAAGTGCAGCTGGGAGGGAGGAGATGGGCAGAATTGGCGAGCTAGGGAGAGCCCAAGTGAACCCTGGCTGCCCATATGAGCCCTTGCTCCTCTTTGTCCTGGAGTTCCTCAAAGTTCTGGTAGAGTTCATCAAACCCAAGTCCTTCTGGAATGTCTGAGCAAGGGAGATGACCCCCCTCCACCACCCCTCTCCTTGTCACATATTCAGAAAGAGCTTCCCCAGGAGGGTAGGGCTGGCTCCATTAGTTATCTGACAGGCCTAGGACTTGGGGGGGAGGGGGCAGTGCAAGGTACTAAGATCTCTAAGATGGAGAGAATGGGGGAATGCTCTTCTTCAGAGAGGCCTGGCAGGGGTCATCCCCCACTCCTGGCTCCAGAAGGCTCCTCCCTTTCCTCCTCCCCCCACCCAACACCAGGCAAGCCAAGGAAGCCAGAGAAAAGCCCAGAGAGCCTGGCTTCCAGCTCTAGTGCCATGAGTCAGCAGGGTCCTGCCCAGGCCTGACTCCCAAACCACTCCATTAAAGGAGGCCACCTCAGTGCCACTGGGGAGACTTCCTGGGCATGGGGAGTGGGGTGGGAGGCTCTTGGGGAAACCTGTGGGGCAGGAGCTTTTGCCAATGGCCTTTCTAGCCCAGCCCCTCCCTCAAGGTTAAGGCTGGCTAGGTGCCTACCCTTAGCCCAGGGCAGCTGTACAATCTGCACCCCCAGGAGTCCTGCCACCCTAGGGCTGTGAGGGCCTTGGCTCCCGCCATCTTGGATGGCCTCATGCCAACCTCAGCAGCTTAGGCAACTTCCTCCCCCTCCCAAGGGCACATCTCTAGAAGGCAGACAGGAAGAGCCCCCCCTCCACAGAAGAGCCCTGAAGACCTCTGCTTCCTCCCCCTACTCTTGAATATATTAAATTGTGCAGCTTGGCTCCAGCCACTCCCCTTCAGATCTCCATGGCAACCAGGCAGCATTCCAAGTCCAAGTCTGAATCCAAGTCCATCCAGTGCCAAAGGGGGGCTTCAGCCTCTCCCCTCACCCTTCCCCGGAGAGGGTGAGACCCAACATTCCACAGGGGGACGAGGGGGGAGGAAGAGTTGGGGGAGCCTCAGTCCTCAGCCCCCTCTTCCTCGGTGTGGGGGGCCCCAGGGGGGTCCTCGGGTTCAGGGTTCTGCCCCCCAGGGTGGAGGTGGGGGTGGGTGCCAGGCTGGGAGCCCGGGCTGTCCTCGCCCTGCACGTAGACACTCAGCCCCTCGTGACTGGGCTCCTTGCCGCAGGCCTGGCAGCTACAGTGTAAGATCTTCTCCACCAACTTATCCACCCTGGGCACCTCCTCATGGCCAGGACACTCCAAGGTCACCTGGGGAGGGCAGGAAAGAAGGGGAGGAATGTTTCCCAAGGCTCCAAGAGTAATACTTCCCCACAGGAACCCCAGACCCCGCCCATGATAACCCAGTTAGCTCGAGGGCCCATCTGGGGGTTGGGGGGAATTGGGCCCCTGTAGGAGCTACCTGACTTGTCTACTCACATCCAGTCCCGCCACTCTCCTGTCCATCCCCCATGGCGGCTACAGCGTGCCTTAGGGAAAAGTCCAGTACGGCCTTTCCCTGCTTAAAATACTCCCCATTGCACTTGCAGAAAAATCCTGACTCCTTACTAAGGCCCCTTGGGATCTCAGGCACCATTGGCTGACCTCTCTACCCCAACCTTGCACCATCCTGCCAAAGCTATGCTGCCTGATCTGTCTCAGAAACACTATACATGCTGTTCCTGCTGCCTGGAAGGTTCTCACCCAACCCATCCCCCTACCACCTGCTCCAAACTCTGCCCAGTACACTCTACTCGGCCTTTGAGTTTGAACTCAAGACACCAAGTCCTCAAAAGAACCCCATCTTAAACTCCCAGCTGGCTGAGGCTCACCTTTGTAGGAAAACCATCTGCACCTTACCCTTCTCCTGTTGTGACACCCCTAACTATCCCTCCTTCTGTCCTCTCTACCTTCTTCCTGTCCTTCCTGGATTTTCTTTCCCTCCTTCCTTCTAAAGAGCACCTCCCCTGTGCCAGCTCTGGAGATGCAAGGACAGACATGGCCCCTCAAGGAACTCAAAGTCCAGTGGGGGAAAGAGACTTGTCAAAGTCACCCAGATGCAGGTGAAAGAGTGCAGATGTGACAGATGGCCAACATGGAGGCATGCAGTGTTCTGAGAGCCAGTGATGCAGGAACCTGACCCAGGCAGGGGGTCTGGAAAGGGACCCTGAGGGAATGATGCTTGAGCCAAGAGCAGAAGAATGACTGGAAGTTAACCAGGTCAGGAAGAGGAGGAGAAAAGTATCCAAGCCGAGAAAGAACATGTGCAAAGGCCCTGTGGTGTAGCAAGCAGAGCAGGAATGAGAGGTTGAAGGGCGGTAAGCTGGTCTCGAGTGTCAAGCAGGTGGGAGGCAAGACCCTACCCAACCTTGTGGGCATGGCAAAGATCTTGGTCTTTTCCTTTAACAACAGAAAGCCACTAAAGGATTTCAGCCCATGAGTAACGTTAGATGGGAGCCTCAGAAAGACCCCTTGTCCTGTACAAGTTGGTGTCAGACCTGTGAGCCATCCTGTGGCAAGGACATCTATATTCCCAGCACCAGCCTTGCCCCCTAGACACATCAGTGTTCTTGCTAAGTGCTTGTGGCCACCTGCTGCAATGCAGGACCCTGGGGAGAAAGGCCAAGGCCGTTTCAGGCCCTGGGCCAAGGCTGGGCAGGGATGATGGGGGCAATACTCACAATCTCCCACATGGACTGGGCTGGCATGCAGGAGTCACAGTGTACTAGGGACTCTGTGGACTGCGGGAAGGTGTTGGGGACACTGTAGCTGAAGCATTGTCCTAGGCACGCCCTGTAAAAGGAGAGGTCAACATGCTCATATCACCCTAACAGAGGGAGAGACAGGCAGCCCTGGTCCTCTCCCTTCCTCCTGGGCCCCTTTCCTCATCCCCCCTTCTACCCCCTGGGGCGCACCTGTTCTGGATGGACTTGGCCTCACAGCCACTGTGGCCCACGATCTGGGTGATGTTCTTGGCTTCGCACCAGGCACTCTTGTCTGGGAACAGTGCCAGCTTGTTGATGGGCGGTGGGGCAGCCAGCAGCATGGCAGGGAGGATGACCCCCACCAGGACCCGAAGCATCATGCCCGTGGCCTCCAGAGCCCTGGAACTGAGCACAGTTAGTCACCAGATGGCCAAGGGGAATACTTCAGAGGTAACTATAATGATATTCAGCAATGAGGGATGTAGCACTTTTTCTAGGATGGGGTTTGTGAACTTAATTGTCCAACCTCCTATGTGTTTGTTAATTTCATAACTTATATTGCCTTGAGCAAGTTACTTTCTACCTCCATGCCTCAGTCTTTTCATCTGAAAAAGGGAGATAGCAACAGTGTGCTTGGCAAAGGATTGCTACAATTACTAAGCAAGATAATTAGCATTCAAGTATTAAATAAATATCAGCTCCCGTTCTCTCTTTGATGCTGTGTCTCATCTAGGGAAACACATGAAATTGTCTACACATCCTTTTTTTTGAGACAGAGCCTCAAGCTATCCCCCTGGGTAGAGTGCTGTGGCATCACAGCTCACAGCAACCTCCAACTCCTGGGCTCAAGTGAGTCTCCTGCCTCAGCCTCCCAAGTAGCTGAGACCACAGGCACCCGCCACAACACCTGGCTATTTTTTTGGTTGCAGCCGTCATTGTTGTTTTTGGCAGGCCCGGGCTGGATTCAAACCTGCCACTAAGGCTGGTGCCTTAGCCACTTGAGCCACAGGCGCCGAGCCTGTCTACACATCCTTAAAGAAGCTGTTCACCCTCCTATGTTGCCGGAAAGCCTCACAGTTGCCAGGATTCTGATATTTGAAAAGCTAACTTCCAACCCTCCAGCCCTATTCCACCTCCTCTGGCTGGACTGCTCAAAAACACACTGAACCAGACAGTATTTCTTAGTAGGATGCCCCGCTAGAGCCTCCCACACACATCATGACCCACAGCCTGGTCCTAAACTGAAATGGAGCAGGCGCTCATCAAAGCCAACCAAGCCCCGGTCGCGCCCACAGGGTCCATCTGCAAACTGCCCTGCTATAGAAGGATGGAGTTAACACATTAAAACCATACCGTAATTTGCCAGAAGATGGCGCTGCAGGGCAGCCTGTGTTTAAAGTCTTTTGCTCCAAGGGCGCTTTCCTGCCCACGACCATATTCCCCAACTTTACCTTCTGTAGGTTTCACTCACACAAACCCGCTTCTTAAAGCCTGAGGCAGGGAGGCTTCTGAGAAATTCAGAAATGAAGGCAGTGCCTGCAAGGGGTCCCCAAACCCTCTGAGGACAGGACGCAGGAGAAAGGGCACTGGACTCATACCCCGTGTGCCCAGAACACTCAGTCCTGTTTTTCTACCTGGAAAATGAGGGAGGTGACCTAGACCAGTGGTTCTCAAGCCTGATAGAGCATCAAAATTCCCTGGGCACTGGTGGACTGAAAGTTCTAGGGTAGAATGAGATTCTGTGTGTGTTTTTTTGTTTTTTGTTTTTGAGACAGTCTCACTATGTCACCCTCAGTAAAGTGCCAAGGCATCACAACTCACAGCAACCTCAAACTCTTGGGCTTAAGCGATTCTCTTGCCTTAGCCTCCAAGCAGCCGGGACTACAGGCGCCTGCCACATCGCCTGGCTATTTTTTGCTTGTAGTTGTCACTGTTGTTTAGCAGACTCAGGTTGGGCTCAAATCCGCCGGCCTGGGTGTGTGTGGCCGGTGCCCTACCCACTGAGTTACGAAGCTCTGCTAGATTCTGTGTTTTTTAAACAGCTTCCTAGGTGGCTCTGATGTGCAGCAGGGGCTAGGGAACCACTCCAGCTCAGCCAGTCTAGGGTTCTGTGCTTTGGGATAGTCCCCACAGGGCCCTGGGTGAGGCTGAATTGAGAGGAAGGGCCAGATCGCAGTCCCACTGGCCCCACAGAAGCACCAGGGATCAGATGGCTGGGACTGGACATCCTGTCCCATTCAGGACAATCCTTCCCTGGGCAATGAGGGTGGCAGAGGCAGGCTCTTTGCACACTAGCCTGAAAGGGAGTGTGGAGGTGAACTAGCTGACAGGGCTTCCAGCCTGCAGGCCTTGACCCCTCTAGCAAGTCCCCGTCAGCCTCAGGCCCATCTCTACCAGGTCTCTATCTCAAGGGACCCCAATGCCTGGATGAGTCCCCTCCCAGCCCAGTGGGAGGGAGAACAGCTGGAGGGGAGGTCAGACAGTCTGCCCCATCCCAAATGAGTTCCTGTCAAGATCCAGGCTCTCACCCACACATTTCCGGTCTCACTCACAAGGCCCGTGTTTTCAGTACAACCACATCCTAACAAAATAAAATGGGCTCCTTTCTGACTAACTGGCAGCCTAATAAACTTCTCAACCACCTTGATCTTTGGGAGGCTTCCTCATCCCTCTGCCCTCTGAGGCAGGGTCTGACCACAGCACACCTGAAGGAGGCCCACAGGCCCCATTTAAGGTCCCCTATACACCTCAGAGAGGCCAAGGGATCCTTGTCTTATACCCGACCCATCTCGCTTCCTCAGGAACAGGTCAGGGAGGTGACTGGGGCAGGGAGTGATGCGAAGGTTTCCAGAGATTTGGAATTGAGACTGGGTTTGTGAAGAAGGAAGCCTGGAGATGAGCACACGGGTCTGATGGGATTAGGGAAGGTCAAGGCTCCCCTGTGAGGCTGTGGGTCAAGGCCCTGGCTAAAGTCCAGAAGAGTTGAGATCGGAGTAAAGATGAATAACAAGGTTTCCTGGGAGTTGGGATGACAGTGAGTTTGGGGAAGAGGCTGCGGGCTGGAGATCAGGAACTGGTTATTACATTGTGGCAGAAATTGAGAAGCAATGAGATAAACTGAGGCAGAAGGTCAACTCCCTACCTTCCTCCCATTCCAGTGCCCAGCAGGGCTCATGACAAAAGCCAGCTGCGCCCACAGAGGAGCACTGTAACCCAACCCACCAGGCTCTCGGCAGGATGCTGACGCCATACTCTGTTTCCCAAGCCAGCAGCCCCAAGCCCCGCCATGGCAGGCAGCCTGGGCTCCCACCAAAGGCAGGGACCCTGGAGTTGCCAGTGTTGAATTCCGGCGCTCCCAGCTAGGAGACGATTGACTGCCAGAAGTTCACCCCTCAGAACCTACTTTCCTCAACCCTAAAATGGGAACATAGCACCTTCTTTGGAGAAGAACTGGGAGGATTAAATGGAAGCAACCAGCACCTAGCAGGCAGCCTCTAAGGCCAGCTCTGTTCCCCAAGGGGATCGTGGGAAAGGCTGGGCCAGCTTCAGAGCCAAGGCTGGGCTGGGCAGGAGGCAGCAAGGATGCCAGGTGAAGCCTCCCACACCCACCTGTCGCTGGGACACACCCACTCTCTCCTGCCCAGTCCCTTGAGAACCCATACCACCCCCCTGCCAGTGGGGTGGGCTCTTGGCTAGCAGGTTTTATGTTTTGTTGGTTTATGCTTTTTTATTTTTTTTCTAGCAGTAT